GAAGCAGAGGATTTGATTGTGTAAAAGGTGCTTTTCATTATGGCAGGATTCTGTGTTGTGTTAGGGAGAGAAAAACTACAAACATTCAGCTTTCCACGTTTTCCTGATATGTGCAAACTGCAAGTGGAGGTGAGTGCCCTTACCTTCAGTTTATTTCTGGGTACAAACAGTTATGCAAAGTGGTTAAGCCTTTTAAGGAAGAGGAATCTTTGTTTAAAACAGTTCTAAGAAGAAAAATCCATCTTTTTCTTTTTTGTTAGATGTCACATTCTGTCTGATTAATTCCAAACACATTGTAATTCATAACAGATTTAGACAGAGTCTTGTTTGAACTAGAGTATCTTTTAGAGGAAAAAAATCCCTCTTTAAAAGTTGCCTGTGCAATCAATCTAAGCCTGAATAACTTACTACACAGTTACTCATCATTAGAACCCCACACTCAGTTCTGAATGTCAAATATAGTTTCCATTCAGCAGCTCTTTTATATTTTTTTCCTCTACACTGAAGAGCCCAGTATTCATCTCATGAACTCCAGACCTTACCTAGTGACTAAGATCCCCAGTTCATCCTTGAACAACCTTTGCCCAGGAAAAAAGAAAACATTACAGATTTTAACCTCTCAGATAATGACTTTTTGTCTGTTTTGGTGGTCTGGTGATTAATGTTTCAATAGTAACAGGCTTGTGAAGAGTAGAGACCTATAGATAAAATATATTCATCATTACTTCCAGAGAATATCCTGAGCTGGAAGGGACCCACGGGGATCATCCAGTCCCGCTCCTGGCCCTGCACAGACACCCCAACAATCCCACCCTGTCCCTGAGAGTGTTGTCCAAACACTCCTGGAGCTCTGGCAGCCTTGGGGCTGTGCCCACTGCCCTGGGGAGCCTGGTCAGTGCCCAACCACCCTCTGGGGGAAGAACCTTTCCCTGAGATCCAACCTAACCCTGCCCTGACACAGCTCCAGCCATTCCTGAGGATTCCGGGAGCATCCTCCATCTCCTTCCAGCCTGTGATGGTTCAGAGCTTAGTGCCCACAGCTGTGTAGAAATCACTGAAAAACGTTGTTCAGGAAAACCAGCACAATGAATAAAAACCTTTAATGGAATTTAAACCTTCCATCCTCCTCATCCTCATTAGCTTTCTGTAATCACCAGCCCACATAATCAGTGTGGATAGAAATATCTTTACCATATAAATTGGATTTTCTCCAAGGTGTTCTGCAGTTCACCACAGTGCCTGGCTGTGTAAAATAGACAAACAGAGCATCGAGATCTGATAGAACAGGAATTATGTATTTAATTCAGTGTTCTGTATAGAGTGCTCATAAAAGCTTGATCAAGATAGAGGGGCCAATAAACGTTTGGGAACATAAATATTTCTGTAGGAAATGGCTTTGTGAAACATTTAGTTGTAGAGTAATAAGAACAACAGAGAAAATCAGGATAACAGAAATCTCAAGGTACTGATCTGATGGGTTGTATATGTTGCAATGATAATAATGTTAAGGGAGAGTTTTTATGGAACCAGTAGCACCAAATACATTGAGTCCTGCCCTTTTTACTAATGAATTCATTTTCTTGTGCTTGCCCCACTTGCTGCCTCTGCTGCTCCAAAATTCAGCTTTAAAGCTGAAAAGCAGTGGGTGGCACCTCGGGGGGCTGAGCTGCTCCTCTGCTTGGACACAGGGGTGTGAGTCCTCTGAATTTGTGTGAGCTGTTCTGAGCAAAACCTTGGAATCTTGGGCCATGATCAGATGTTCCAAATCTGCAGAAGGCCAGGCAGTGCTTGTGGCCAGGATGAACTGCGAGAAAAAATGCACCTGTGTGAGGATTTCAAGGGAAATCCTTGAAACTCTCTCTCTTTGTCTTTCATTTTTCTGGAACATCCATTACTTGTGTATTTAGGCATCAGTCCAGCCAGACAACACACAAGGAAATATATTTTAGGAAAGCACACATCAAAAAGTGTTTTAAATGGCCAAACTGTAGTACAAACCATTCTGGCAACACAGCTGGTGTCTGTCAGTCTGGAGGGTGGAAAATATGAAGAGAACCCATAAGAAAAATAAAAGCAACCTAGGAATAGCTAATCAGGTTAGAAGGGATGTTTTGGCTGCAAGGATTTTGAGGGCTGTAGAGAAAAATAGAATAAGATTAGAAAATCTTTGTCCATCCTGTGTGACAGATGTGGGAGAAGATGGAATCGTTTGTTACTTCTCTTTTTTTCCTCTGCAAACAGCAGCAGCAATGAGCTGGCAGGCACAGTGAAATGCAGTTAGCAAAAGTAATGGGAGTTGAAAGTTTGACCTTTTGTGATGGAAATTTGATATGAAAAAAGGGTCTTTTGATAATTTCTCTATCCAATCAGATATGGGAGATGTCTTGATCCTGTTTCCTCATTTGCATGCTGACTGATCTCATTTGAAAACCCAATCATTCAGAAATATTGGGACGTCAACAGAAATGTTACAAACAAGGAGTTGTTTTATCTGAAAGGTCTGCAGGATGTCATCTCTTGTTTTTCACTCCAGTGGCCTGATCTCTTCTTCATGATTCCATGTTTTTATTGGCAGGATAAGTTGAACATATTGAAATGCAAATAGCCCTTTCCACATCGAACCAAAATACAGGAGCTTTTCCTGTGTGATTGATTATATCCAGGGCACTTCAAAAGAAACAAAGAAAATACTTTCAGCAGTGCCTCTGATTCCTTGACATTGCCAAGTTCTGACGTTTCCTGTTAGCAATCACTGGCACAGAGTGATTCCTGAGCCTGGACTCACCTCTGCTCTTCCCCCGTGTAAGACCCACATTGCTGCCTCTCCCTGTTCCTGGGATGTGCCTGAGCTCACTTTGGCTGCACAAACACACTTTTTTGTTATTAACAAACACTCTTTGTCGCTGTCCCGGGTGCTGAATGTCATAAATGCATTTCATGGATTTTGCCAAATTGCAGAGGTGTTTAATCCAACAGTGATAGAATTCAAAGCCTCCCAAGATCACACGTTGGCTTTCAACCGTGTGTGGAACTGTCCAGATGATTATCTGCCTCATCAGATTTCAGAGCCGAGGCACTGCCCACTTAGGAGAGTTTAGGATCAACTTTATCTCCCAGACAATTTAACCTTTCTATTTTCTAGAACAGGCAATCCAATTTCCATTTTACTCAACCTCCCAGTGGGTTAATGACAAGTTTTCCCACTGTGTGACTGGTGTCATTATCCCTAATTTCGGAGCCTACCTATTAAATTAATTTCTTAATCCAAAATTTTGCATTACTTAACCCAGAAGCTTGGCACAAATTATCAAAATTATCTCAATAAAGAAAATTATTTTAGATTAATTTTTTTTGCATACTACTTTTTTAAAAGTAGGGTCAAGCTATATGAGAAATCTTTTTTCTTTAGTAGCCCAAGATTTTTTTTTCCCACCTGTTTCTCCACCTGGACAACCTCACCCCTAGCCTGCTAATCTGAGTACTGTCCTGGGAAATGGGATGTTCAGCTCCTTCTTTCTGGGGCTACTTAGGCTTGCCCTGCTTTTTAGAAAAAAGTAAGTATTCACTGACTGTAGGTCTCTTGCCTCCCTGGTGAACACCTGCTTTGGCCTGCAAAGACATTCTGCTTTTCTGGTGGAGAGCACTCCATAGGGATTGCTTTCCAAAGCCAAATCCTGGAGGGACAGGGAGAAAAGGGATGAACCAGATTATAAGCTTTACATAATAGTGTATCTTGAAAGTCATTGAGTTGCTGTTTGTTCAACACTTTGCAGTGTAAAGCTATAAATTAGACAGGGGGTCAGGATTTACCGTGGTGTCCCTCAGGTGGGTGACAATACACCATGTTAGGGACCCTTGGAGGTCTGCAGTCACTGCTGAGCCACAGAAAGAGAATATTCACCCAGCTTGTTGTTTATTCAACAGATTTCAGGGCCTAACCACGTGTGGGATGTTTATCTGATGGCACCTAATTTCTTCAGCAATACTTGTACTTCTGTGTATGGGCTTGGGATTTCACTGCTGGAGGAAACGTGCCTGTTTTGGCTGAGGACAGGAGTAACTTGACTGATAGGCTTCTTCAAATCCAGAGAATCCTTTTCATCAAACCCTGTGGCCTGTCAGCTGTGGGGGAGTGTTTTGTGAAACTGCAGGAATGGCAAATTCCCCCATTCCTGTGTAATAAACTGAAGTTGTTGGGATGAGTAGCTGGCGCGACTCAGCAGCTCTCTGAATTAGACACTGAGCGTTCTCCCAGATGGGAAATCAGCCTCCTTCATCTCTCATGTATTTTAGAATATCAAACCATGTAAGTTTAAACACCATGTATTATTCTTGATAACCACAGCAATCTAGCTCTTCCTTGCTGGATTTTTTTAAATATACTCCCCTCTCCACCTTCTCCTTTCGCTTCTCAGTATTGAAAACAAAAAGCAGCTCATCGTACCAATATTTTCTCCGTGGTGAAGTCAGCATAGAATAGCAGTGTCCAAAAAGTTGTAAAACAAAAGACTATCATATGTTGCACCTTTTAATCATGTAATTGCTGAGTGACATTTAACTCTGAGGCTTTAAGTTACTCCTTTGTCAGCCAGCCTTCTCCTTCTGCCCCTCTCGTCCCTCCCTCCTCCCAGAGCAACCTGCTTTTGCAGAGTAGTGCTTTAACTACACTGAAGTTTGGCTGGGCTTCTACATATTACAGCAGCAACACGAAAGCAAACAATTGAAGTATTTGAGAACAATGAAATATGTATGGCTATCTGTGACAGCCCTATAAAGCAGAGCAATTAGCCACGTAATCCGAGAAAGCCAAAGCCACCGGCAGCCCACGGTTCCCTATTAGTTAAATGCTTTTTGTACGTCCTCATCCCATCAAATCAACTAACACTTCCTTTAATTGGTTCATGAATTATACAGCTTGGCTGCATTATAATTTAATCACCAGTAAACATTCCTGGGGCCTGCTGTAAAGTGTATAGCGCTCATTAATTCCTTAATTTCAGCAGATGGAAGGGGAGATCGGATGAACGGTGGCAGTACAGAGCGCCTTGGGCAATGGAAGAAGGAAAAAAAGGTGGGGGGCCGTTTAGATTTTTTTAAGGGCTGTCAGAAACTCAATCTGTGAGCTGTCAGCAGCCTGGACCCGCTTTCCCCCCTCTCCTCCCCCTGCCTTCACCCCACCTACCGCTGCAAGTGACTGACGGATTCATATGGAGCCTTGTCAAGCCGTCTTTAAACATCAAGCCAGCGGGTAAACCAAGCCCAATGTAAATTAATTCTTGTCTTACGGGCCCCCCTTTCTCTGTCCCCATGAATATTTCATGGCGGGCAGCATAAATATTAATTCTAATAGCTCTGCACAGTGGTTATTATTTCTGTTTTATGACAAATATTCATAAAATATTCAGGACCCTTTTTTAGAACATTTACACACTTGATTGTGAAATTTTCCAGCTTCCTGGGGACACAGTAAACATATTGGGGTTCTCTTGATGGACTTTTTTCTCTCTTAATTAATACTACGCCACATTAATATTTAATCAGATTTAGTTTTCCTTTCCCCAGAAGTGAACCCTATTACATTTGAGGATTTATTTGACAGTATTTAAACAGGGAATTTTTATTCCCTATTATGAAATTGGTTTCCTTTGACACATATATAAAATGACACATTATAATCCGTTCCTTTATTCCCTCCCCTTACCCCCAAATCATACCTGGTTTTGGTGTCAGTTCTTCTATTTATTTTTACATCCCAAATATCTTACTAACAGCAAAAGTTAGTGTTTAAATGGTGGGGGTGGGGGTTAAGTATCATTTACTATAAATTTGATTCAATTTATTTAATAAGGAAGAAAAGTATAGGTTTCCTTGTTAGGAGCAGGAGGTGCCAAAGGAAAGCTGCAGACAGGTAGCAAAGGCATCATTTCTGAGATGAGTTTGCTGGCTCTTAACCCTGGAGCTCTTGCTCCACTCAGATTTGCTTTGCAGCATCTAATTATTGCAGGGGAGGGTTGCAGGGATCTGAGGAAACACTTGGGGAAGGGGGTTCAGGTTCCTGACCTCAGGCCTCTGGGGCTGCAGAGGCTGTCGATTATCTGAGGTGGGGTTGGATTAACCCTGCCCAGGGTGGGAATGGTGCCATCCACAACACTCCAGAGCAGTGCTGGCTGCCATCTTATTCTGTGATTCAAAAAGCACCGCTGGAATGAACTCCAGGGGGAATGCAAAGATGCTGGAATAACAGCTGAGAGTAAGGAGGAGGCAAAGAATAAAAATGAGGGGAGAAATGTAAAGCAGTTTTGAATGGAGGTACTAGTGCATCCCCGCCACTCCTTGCAGATGGGAAGAGTTAATATTGCCTTCTCAAAAAAAAGCTTTAAAAATGCATTGAAGCCACTCCTACAAAAACATCTGCTCTGTCTCTGTGTGCCTTTCACTGTGCTCCTGTGACATTCACACAGCCCCGAGTCCTGCAGGCCACTGGAAGGGCTCTGCCTGCCCAAGGGCCTGGGGTTCTTGCTGGTGTGAATCCATGTGATGCCCATGGAGCTGCTTTGCTTTATCCCAGCTTGAATCCAGCTCATTGTTCTGTCAAACAGGCAGCCAGTGCCTGTTCCCACTGTGTGAGCTGGGGTGGGATGTTGCTGGTGGGGTGGGACATGGGAGAGACCCCTCACCTCGGCTGTCTGGGCTGGTGGAGCTCAGCACATGGAACTGGTGGGTGGAAAACATCCAATGGAGTCATTACTCTGCACTGCTGGTGAAGGGAAGGAACATCTGCAGCTGCTGAGGATGTTGTTCATCTCTCTCCCCTAGCCAGGAGACATGTCCTGGGAATAGTGCCCCACTTAGCTGCCTTTTGTAGTTATTGGGCAGAAATGCATCCATTTGAAAAGATCCAGTGCCTGGAAACAGCTTGTCATCCCATGAATCATTATAGGAGCTCGATGAGCAAAACACTTGTGCTGATTAACCTGTGTTTTAGTGCTTATGCAATGTATTTTCCCTCATGGCTGAAACCTAGAGGGTGAAATTATTTCCCAAAATAGACTCAAGCATCTTTCATTAGAAGATATTCCAGTATTTGAAAGAAATCAGTGAATAAAACCTCCCAACAGCTCCTTCCATAAATAAGAGATAAGGATCATTTTATCCATTGCAGAGACAGGCAGAAGGAGTATTTAGGAGAAGGAGTAAACTGAGATTCATGTCCAGTCAGTAGTGCAGCCTCAGAAGAGCCTTTGTAGTCTGGTTACCCATGGGCAAAACAGCTGGTTTAGAGCTGCACTGAGAGAAACCTGAACAAGTCTGGGGAAAAGGTTGATGGGATCTGTGTAACCAGTTTTTAATTTTTAAGAGGGGATTTGGGAATGCAGAATGTCATTGTGGAAACAGGATCCTGTGACTGAGCCAAAGTGCTTGAGAAGAGGCTTAGCCAAGGTTTCAGGTTCAAGGTGTCTTTGTGCTACAGGACAGGGAACATTCTTTAGGGGAACTGATTGATCCAAGTCAATATCTCTGGCTGGAAAGTCGATAAAGACAAGATGGTCTGGGTTTTAGCTGGGATTAGGCACTTGGATTCAAATCTAAACTTATCTGTAGCTGTCAGCTTGGACCACTAACTTGATTTGCCATATTATTGTGATCATTCAGTGGTGCTACCTAAGCAAAAGACCTTTTTGCAATGCAAACTTTTGGTACCTTGACCAAACCTGCCATCCCTCTCCTGTCTGGCCTGTGGTCCTTGTATGATCCACAAGTTTGTGCAGTTTTACACCTTTTTGAGAAACTTTTAACACCAAAAAACCATGGTCAGTTTTATTGATGGGTCTCACAGTTGAGCCAAATCCAGGACAGTTCCTAGAGATGGTTCTTGTCCCTCTGCCACTTCAGTCCATGATGCCTCCCCAGGTTTTCCATGCATTTGTGAGAACTGTGTTATTCCCTTCTCCCCCTGCTTTGACTGTTTTGTGAACCAAAGGGAGGAGCTTGTGTTTGTGCCAGGGATCACATAAGGGTTTTACCTGCAGTGGCCTTTTAGGGAGCTGCTGAATCCTTACACTCCAACAGCCTCATCTCTTTCTCAGCTTTATATTTCAATGACAAAAATTGTAACCATTGCATTGCCAGGACTGAGTCCTCCAGGAGAGTTATTTTCCATGGGGAATTGTGCCATAGCATCAGGTGACACTGTTGACATCTCCATATGGAGTAAGATGTTTTGTGCCTTATGAAAGGCACAAGTTTCTAGCCTTGAAATTGATTTTTTTCTCTTTGTCTGCCTGGAAAAGAAGGTAACTTTGTGTCCCTTCCTCTCTTTCTTCCACTCTCCTGTTCTCTTTTGCTCTGATTTAGCCGGGGTTCTGTCAAAGTTCTGGCACCAAAGTTTGCTGTAACTTTGAGATCACACAAAGCATCTGATCTTCACATACTTGTTGTTTTTGTTTTTTTTTAAAGCAGACTGATGTGGTACGTTGTAAACTGCCAGGAGCACTTGCTAATTTAGTAGTTAATGACAGTCACAGAGAGTGTTTTTCTTGCCCCTGGAGAGGTTTTAGACACAGCTGGGGTAGATTTGCCACTATCAATTATGCACAATTTTAAACAAGAATTGGCCAGCAGGGGCCTCTTTTTTTTTTTTTGCAGAGTGCAGAGCGTGAAGAATGGGAATATGGCAGCTGGTACCTGCCTGAGACAGGGAAGATATATAGGAGTCAAGAAAATAAGGGAAAGATTAATAGCTTACTATTTTTAAAGTTGCAGTTTCAAATCAAAAGTTTAAATGCTACATTTAAAAGTGACCCAGTGGTGGTTGGTGTTGTATTTTTGTTTTAATTCAGCATCCTAACTTTATTGTGAGGCTTGATCTGGCCCTGGTATAGCCACAAGTAAGTCAGTAGTCTCTGTTTTTAAAAACCATCTGGGGAGTCAGGATCCTATCTCAGACATCATGGTGTGTTGTCTTTATATCCTTAAATGAAAACAAGGTATGAATTCGATGGGATTTAATGGTATAGGTCTAATTTCACAGACAATAGTTTTCTAAAAAGGGCTTGGCTTTGGGCTCCACTCCACCAATGTCTATCCAGAGCAGCTCCAGGTGATGGCAAATGCCAAGGATGAGAATCTGACCTAAGAAAATAGCTCAGGTTTAGAACAGTCAACATCTGGATCCATCCAGGTCAGCCTCATAAAACAGCTGGGTTTAAATTACAGGACCTAAAGGGGTGGAAGGCTGTGGCAGAGCTTCAGTTCTCTGGAGATGTGAAAGCAGCTGGATGGAAGGGCAGTGGAGCCATCCTGGAAAGGGACTCTCCGTAGCAGGAGGAGTGTTCCTCATTCCCTAGTACAGGGATACCAGGATTCAGGCACACAGCACTTGCTTGTCTTATGGCAACACTCATAATTTTTCATTACAGGTACTTTAAGTGGTGACATTATACCCAGAAAACAGGAAAAGCACCACCAAATAAATTCTTCCGAGGACAGCTCTGAGCACTGCCAGTTGTTAATAACTTGGATTAACTGGGTTGGCTGCCATCTGGAACAAATGCAGCTCAGGATTAGTTGAGTGCTGTTGTGTAGGTCAAAAAAAATCTTCCTTCACTTATTGTGTGGTTGTGACATATTTTTCCAAAAATGCTGTCTCACGATCAGGTGTGAAATAACACTTCTGCCACCTGTGCCTCACCTTCTCCTCTCTCCCTTTGAGAAGGGAAGCCATCAGGATGCCCTGGTGACCTCCAGGATCTTAGATGATGCTGTCTGAGTAGCCAGAAGCGACTGGAATACCCCTTTGGAATGCCAGATGGCTGGTAGGAAAACAATGTTATATTCCAGCTGTTAGAACTGGAATATATTCCATCGTCATCCAAAGGCAACCAGCTCTCATTTGACTGGGTACACAGTGAAGGTGTCATCAACATTATTAATTTGTTGGAATTTAATCTCTAATGTGTCTGGAAGCTGCAAGAGATCAGATCAGTGATGTCAAGTACAGTGAGGAAGAGGCAGGATTCTGACACTCATTTTGCCTTTTAATATTTGTGTTAATGGTTTTATTATCAGTGCAACCTGCGAGGGCTGGACCTTCTCCTGGGAGATGGAACAAAGGAGAAGGGACAGAGCTGTGCTTATGAATCCCTTGGCTCCAGTCCTGCATCCAGCAGCAATGTTGCCACTCAGTGGGAGTCAGGGGGATGTTTGTCCTCAGAGACCTGGGAGGTTCCACCCAGTTCTGCCCCACAGAGCACCGGTCTGTAACTGGGAGCACCAGTCTGTAACTGGGTGCCAGTGATTTTTGGTTGCCTGTGGGTGGATGCTGAGCCTGTGACACAGGATTGAGGATTCCTGGAGCACCTCACCTGGTGCTGACTGACACCACTCACCTGTTGGAGCTGAACTAACAGCCCTGGAAGGGGAGCTGTGCTGGATGCTAATCCAGCAGGATAATGTGGTGTACTTTGATATGAGGCTGTGTTTCCTCGCCTCCCTGCCTGCCAGTTCTGATGACATCTGTTTCATATTTCCCCTTGATAGAAGTTGTGACACATTACAACGTACAAAGCCTGGCTGATTCCTAAAGTGAGCTTTACAGAGGATGCATTTATGTGAAAAAAAATCACACTTGGTGTGTGAAAGGGGGCCAAGCTCTGCTTGGAGATGAATCCGGTGCTTGCAGGGAGTTGTTCCAGTTACTGCTGGATCAAGGTCATGGGTGCAGCTCTCTGTCTTATGGGGATTTCCAGGAGAAATCCAGCAAATATTATACCTGGACAGCTGGAGGGTCAGGTTTGTTATGTGATCAGAGTCACAGTAGGCTGAGAGAGGGACAGAGGTGAAATGTTGCTCAGCAATACCTTGAGGAGCTGCAGGAGATGTATCACATAGCCAAGGCTAAGGCTTCACAGAGTGCACACGTAAATGGGCTTTACTCATGTGAGTAAACCTCCTGGGGCTGCATAATAGGCTGTGTGGGGTATGTGTCTCCTTCAAAATGGTAATAAAGCTTTCTAATTGGAAGTATTTTAAGTCTAGACTGTAGTTCTGTCAGTGGTTTTCCCCTTCATCTTTTTTTCCTGCTTCTGAACGATTTTAAACTGACAGCCCTGGGGAGTGTTGTTTTCTCTTATCTATAGGAGATGTGTGGAATGGCAGGGTAAGGCATCCCACCTTCCCCTGGAAGGACCCTTGGACTGGGAGTTTGTGCTGTTGAACAGCATATTCTGTGTGTGTTGTTATATATTGGATGTTGGGGGAAAAAAATCCGTATTAGCAGGGATGTCTGTACCCTCCCACATCTTCCCTGCACTCTTCTTTAATGGTGACACCAGACTGGATAATAAGCAGCATCTTGTTTAAAAAGGAAGGGAATCTCAGACAAGGCTTTCAGAGTTCATTTTGTTGGCAGCTTTTTAAGTGGAGTTTTTTAGGCTCTTCTGTTTCAAATACCATAATACTTTTTGTGTGTTAGTAACTATGAATTACGACAAGCTTTCTTGATATGCCAGGTTATAATCCTTTAGTGGGTTTGTTTATTTGAGAATATAATAGGAAGCCGTATCAATTATCATGACTGTATAAATGTTGTTCCTCTCTACTAGAATATTCATCTTGAGACACATCATCAGATGTTACCTGTTCTGACAATCACGTTTTTGTGCCATTGTTGGGCAACAGAAACAAAGAAAAACAAAATGTTAAGAGTGTAAGGGATAAAAGAGTGTTGAAACTGTTGTTCTTTTCCTGTCTTTGGAATCTCCAAGATCTTGAATGTTTTATTCCTGGCTGTTATTTTGTTACCACAGTGTGAATAGAAGTCATTATCTGTAAACATTTGAGAAGAGAGATGATTTTCATAACTTTAAATCCTACAAAGGATTCTCGTAATCTGCTATGTGTACGCCAAGGTAAAGCTCAGCCTTTCATCTGGTCTGATCCCACCCAGTCAGTGTAAAATGTTCCTTTGGTGACTGTCTAAAGCACGCAGAATCTCCTGTGAGAGGCAGACAAAAATGAAAATAGGAAGCCTGGCCTTGAAGGCAGCAGCAGGAGAAGGTGTATTATAAAGAAAGATGTATTCACAGCCTTCAGGTCGTGCTCTCTTGGTAAAAACTCATTTTCATAGGTTCAAAGGAAGCCTCACTTTTTATTTTTATTGCATTAATTGTTGAATGTGATCTTTGTGCAGATCTGCTTTAGTCTCCAGTAGCTGGGGGACAGGGGACTCAGGTCTGCTCAAACTCAGCAGTTTGTCAAGAATTTTCTGCTGAAGAGATTTTGAACATGAACATAAAATTAACAGGACTATTATAATGAACCAAAGTGCCAAGGGGGAGTCAGTGTGAGATGGGCACAACAATTTATGTGCACAGTGTGGTGTGCCTGGGGTCAGGAGTGGTGGATGTTGCCCAGTGTCACCCTGTCAGTGCACACAGCACACACAGTCAGTGTGCCAGAGAGCTGCTGCCTTGCTGTCCCAGAGACCAAAAACCTGTGAGGAAAAGGAGCTTGAGGAGAGATCCTGTGCCTGTGCTCGTGTGGGTGACGCTGCAGGTTTGGGTGCTACTGTCACTGCCATGTTTGAGTGTGCTCTTTGTTTGGGTAAGGATTAACTCACACTCTGAAGGTCACAGGTGATGTTCTTGGGGTGTTAATGCACTTAATTGTTATGTTCTCCACAGGGTATTTTTCTTTAATCTGCCCTACGAGTCCATCATGGAGCGACTGTCCCAGCGGAGAACGGATCCCATCACTGGGCAAAGGTTTGCACTCCTGCCTCATGTTTAACATTTTTCAAGACTGCCAGTGAGATGAAAGCACCAGGTAGACTTCATAGAAATCTCAGGAACTCGGGAATACTGTACTCTTGCTTAGGGATTCCTTAAAAGAAAAGTTCAAGCTTTCATAGCTCCTGGAGCACCAACCCACCTTCCTGCTGCAGCAGCTGCTCCTCTCAGAACAGGGCATTTTAAATCCTGGAGCCTACAGGATTTAAAACCTACAGGAGCAAATAGCTCGGGTCTAACATTTTAATGGTAACTGAATTGGTTGGTAACATAATGCTGAGGGAAGATGTCTGAAACCAAGCCTAAATGCAGATGGTTTTCAGACATTCCCATGGGAGTTTTGAGGGCATCCCAGCTGGGGAAAATGGAAAACTAGCTGCATTTTACTTCCCCAGGCTCCTGTGATGGTCCTGTCTGCTGGGAGGTATTAATACATTTCCTGCTCAGTAGAGCAAACTCGTTGGAGCCACTGAGTCACTGGAAGGTTGGGCTCTCCAACGTGGCAGTTCATCTCGCTGGCATCACATCCCTTTGTCTCCCCAATGACCTTCAGCTTTACTGCCTTCTCCCCCCTTGCTTTTTGGGGAACAAGTAACAAATTTATCTTCCTAAATACCTGCTGGAAATGGTGTGTATTTACAATTTCACTTGTGGCCTGTTTTTATGGTTCCCCCCACTTAAATTTTTAAACCACTGTTTTACTTTTCTAAAGGTTGAATCCTACCGCCTCGAAGACAAATACTGAGCCCTCAAAGATTAAGGCCATAAATACTGGATTTGTCCCAAAGTGAGAGCTGATTATTCAGACATCTCACTCGAGGTGCAGCATTAACTTGTGACAGCAGCAGTGATTTGCTGTAACTGCTCTCTTTGCTTTAGTAATGAGCGATGTGGTTGTTCAGCAGAAATGAACAGGCTGAAGCAAATCATTCACACATCTTTGCATTTCTTATCATCAGGATTAGTATCTGTTCAGTATCTGCTCCAGTTAACACGCTTTCCTCTTCCAAACTCTGGGTTTTATTCCTCCCCAGTTCCTGGTGAATTGAATTGTTTTAGGTGCTGTGTCTAATCCTTGGCATCGTGTTAAAGCTGCACCACTGCAGGGCAGGGGAGAGGGTGGCCTTCAGCTGTGCCCTCAGTGACTCTCCTGTCGAATGGACTCTGTGTCCACATCCAGTACCAGCTGCAGCTGGAATGCAGCTCTGTGCAGAGACCCAAACTCTGCTTCTCTCCTTACCTTTGCATCTATCCCAAAACCGTCAGAAAATTTGGCTGTACAGGAAGAGGGATAAACTGGTTTGTGTCAGGGCAGAGGAGGCATTTACTCAGAGTTAGAATTACCAATTCCCGTGGCAGGGAATTTAAACACCTGATTGCAAAGGAGCTTTTAGAGATTGTTGGGAGCCTCTGGCAATGCTGGAACTCCCTCAGAATTCCTTTGGTGTCTGGCAGGACTCTGGGGATGAGAACCCTCTGTCCTGCTGAATCCTTTGCTTTAAAACCCCATCCTAAAGTAGAAAGAGGCACATCCAAGGAACTGTGATAGGCAAAAACATGGAGTATCAGGAAATGGGTGCTGTGTCCTCAGCTTGGGCTGACACAGTGGCATTTCTCTCTCACCTCCAGGTACCACACCACATTCAGACCAGCTCCCACCCCAGAGATCCAGGCCCGGCTCAGGCAGAACCCCAGAGATGAGGAAGAAAATATTGAGAAGCGCCTGGAAACCTATTACAGGAATGTCAAGGACCTGGAGGATTTTTATGAAGAGGCCTTTTATGTCAATGCTGACCAAGACCCTTATGTTGTCTTTGAGTTCATAGAAAGCTGTATCATTAAGCCCCTTCCATGTAGGAAATTTAGACATTTATAATTAAAAAGGATGGTTTCTGGAAGAGTTGATTTTAAATTTTTCCCTGTAATATTTGCAGTCTGGTTGCTGAAGTGGCAGGTTATCACAAGGGAAGAGGAAGTCAGCCAAGCTGTGTTAAATTTGGAGCTCACCAAGGCTGAGTGAAGTACAGAGAGTAAGAAACTGGGCTTTAGAGGAAATATTTTTGGCTTTTGCTTCATGATGTAAAGTATGAAACACTGTGGTGAGGGAAGTCCTGTTTAATTCAAATATCTTTTTCTCTTTCTGAATAGTGGTTTTGTCTTAACTGTGCAATACCCACGAAGCCAATCTGGACTATTAAAGCTGTTAGATGTGTTTGTGTCTTAATTCACCCAGTGCTCTCCAGTAAAACCACACAAGCACTGCTCTGTCCCAGGCTGCTGCCAGCAACCACTAAAGAATGAGGAAAACAAAGCTCCCAGCTCTGCAGTGAACTGTCCCCAAAGACAACACAGTGTTTGAGGTCAGGGTGCAGAGGTTTTTACTCCCTTGTCAACTCAGATTGCTTAAAAAATGCTGATAAAACTCTCTGCAGAAGCACCAGCCATCCCTGTCACCCTGTTCTGCTGGGTAGGAAGACTCAGAACAGCTGGAAAAGATCTCCAGAGCCACAGGAAGCTGTCTGCAGGTTCATCATTTTCAAAACCCAATCAAGGACCTAACGAGCTGCAGGAGCAGAGAAGTTACTAATTCTGTTTTCCTGGGGGAAGCACAGCTTCCAGTCTGTAGCTGCCCTGACTGGGCTGTGCTAGGGCAGGTTGGTGCTCAGGATTTTTGCTCTGGCTGGATCTGGCTGCAGTAAATGCTCAGGTAAGTCTTTCTTAACTGGCAAATCTCTGATGAAAGGCACAGCACTCGTTTAGCTGTCTCAGATTCTGCACATCCTTAATGCTTGTGGGAAAGGGGTGTGATTTGTGCTGTGGCTCAGAGGGGAACTGCGTTTGATGCCTCTATTACAGCTCCCTCTATTCCTCCCTTGTGTGTGAGTGTGAATTCCCCCTGAGCAGGGGATGGGGAGGAGCTTCAGCTTTCTCCTGGAAGTCTCTGTGTCTGGGAATGTGCAGGAGGCAAATGCCTTCTCCCTTCAGAGAGGACAGGCCTCTAGAAGCCTTTTGGTTTTAGATGACTTTTCTGACTTGCTATAAATAGCTTTGGGTCTTTGTTGCTGTTACTGTGTGTGTGTCTGAGTCTGTTTGGAGAACTGAGGGATGTACATGCCGAATTTCCTTCTTGTTCCTCTAGAGTAATTTCAGGCAGGAAGACCCTGGTTATCTGGATAGCTATGGAAATATTGTGTTATTTTGGGAGGTTTTAAAGTCAGAATTTTCAATACCTGTGGCAGGGTTGGTGAATGGGAGTTGGACTTTGCAGCCTTGAGGGCCTGAAATCTTAAAAATCTCAGAGTATCTTTGAAATCTAAGAAAGCCAAATCCAAGCAGCTGAGTCCTCGATGCCTCTTGCAGTGAGAAATTCCAACTCCTGGTGCCAGGCTGAGGCAGAGGCTGCTCCCAGGGCACAGGGCTCAGCCACAAACCCTCATGTACAGCTGGGCAAGGCATTTGTAACAGTCCTACCTGTTACAAATGTGCTGTTTGGTAGCTGCTCGGGCAGCTGGTTTTTATGCCATTGCTATCAAGACATGCTGTAGCATTCATGCATAATTGGGAGCCCTTCTATTAATAATACATGGGAAGCTCATCTTGCTAATATCACCTTCATCTGAGCGTTCCTACTAAATATTTTGATAGATGAAATGGGAAGAGAGTGTATTTAAATACTGTTTGTACTGCGGCTGGGGTACAAAAGGGACAGCGCATCTTTAATTAGACAGGTACATCTGCTTAATTAATTTAGCTGTAAAGCCCTTTTTCCTCTTCATTCTTTCATCTATATGCGGGCTCTATATTAGTTCTGCTCCGCTGGTTCCATAGAAACTGAGAAAAAGAGCTCAGTCTCATTGAGATGCACTTGGCATGTCTGGGTATGGAGTCTCAGGTCAATGGTCAACCCCCAAGGGTTTGCAGCAGGCCTGAAGTGCAGAACGTAAGGGTTAGCAGAACATGCTAATACTCATGTAGAACTCTCCCTCAGAAACAACTAAAACAATTGACATTCATTTAATTACTGTAAACGAAACAGCCCCTGCATGACTTTGCATAGTAAAGCCTGTTAATGCCAAAAAGGTTCAGTGGGTGGAAGGAGGAATTAGGCTTTTATAATTGGAATGCAACACTTGAAAACCAATTTGGTAACTGCGCTTGATTTTATTAGCATCTGATTCTGGCAAAACAAATGTTGAGCAATGAGAAAAACAAGGTAAAGAGGAGGTGGGAAGAACACAGCAGGGATTAGATTTTACTTATTGTACGGCTTGTCTGGGTCTGGAATGGACATCTTCCATCACTCTGCTTCCCAGAGACACTTTGCAGAGAGGGCTGCTTGGAGGTTGTGCCATACCCTATATGTTATGCTGTTCATTACCTAGTTGAGCAACAAGATGTTTGTCCAACTGTTCCACAAACTTTTGTGCCACCTGCTCCAGACACCAGATCCTTCAGTGGTGGAAGGACACTTGAACACCCCTGGACAGGAGACCCTGTACCTCTGGCACCATCTCTGCAGGAACCCCCTGTAGCTCCTGGAAGGTTTCCCTGCTCTTACCTCTCCCCTGAGGTTTGGATACTGCTCAGGTGATGGCACCAGCCCCAGCCATTAACCCTGACCTGCTCCATGGCTCTGAGGAGCAGGAATGGCTCTTCCTCATCCTCCCCCCAATGCCAGAGCTGTAGGTGGCACCTGAGCTTCCAGCAGCTGTGCCTGCAAGGCTGTCCTGCTTCCTAAATAGGAAGTCATAGAGGAAAGGCTCTGTATTGGAGAGATTACACTTGTACAAACAGGTCTCCTGTAAAGAGTATTTCAGGGCATAACAGTGTGATCTGTTGGCCTTCAACTAGGACTGTGTTTGCATTCAGTTCTTTTATGTCAAGAAACCCTTAAGGAGGACAGAGTAAGTGGTGTTGTGTTGCTCATGATCACTGATGATACATTAGCCCGTGGAAATCCTGGTAAATTTAAGAAAATCAGGGAGATACTTATTGTCTTTGTGCATTAGCAACCATAGCATTTCCTCTCTAGAGATATGCCACAGGATTAATAGGATGAGGAAACACACAAAAGGAAAGGGTGACTGAATGATGAAGCCGCTGACCCAGAGCTGAATTGAAGTAAAAGGCAGCAATGAGGTCCCCTGTCACCACTTCCAGAGCAGGGGGTGTAATTTGGAGACAAGACTGAGTCCTCATGACCCCAAACTCCCACCTTCGTTCCAAGAATGGCATCCAGCACCAAGGCACTGAGACACTGTGCAATCCAGAGCTGTTCTGCTTATCCATCAAACCTGGACTAGCCTGGATTTCTTCATCCCAGTGGAGGAGGGACAAACTCTGTTATCAGTGTGAGAAGCAAATCTTACATGCTATCAGAAGCTGCTCATCAAGGACAGTGACACGTTAGCTTTGGATACAGAACAGAATCTTTGGCTATTAATTCTCAGCTGCAAGAGCAAATACCACAATCCTTTAAAAAAAGCAGCAGTGCATCAGGAACCCTCAGTGTCTGCTGGTGTGATTCTCCCTCTGGAGATGAGGCATCATGAACAGCCAGAGTGTTCACCACCAAATGGTGAAGTAGTTGAGGACAACCTTCAACTATTCACTTGTTTGAAATATCCTGCAAAACTTAGGCAAAACCATAGTGAGATAAACTCCCTGATTCTGTGGGATTTCTTCTTGCAACACTTCACCTTGTGTCTCTGCTATGTGTTAGTTTGGGGAGGTAACTCCATTAGTGGCAAAATAGCACGAGGATCTGGCAGCAGGTGCTCCCACCTTGCTCCAGTTTGCCTTTCCCATGGGATGAAGGCAAGAGGTTTGATTAGGACAGTGTGTGGGTTGTTACACTGCTCCAGGAACGGGACTAACCTCTGTGTTCCCAGAACTGCACATCATGAGTCCAGGAGGCAAAAGGTCTCCTGCAGCAGCCTCAGCTGCTCACTGGGCAAAAAAACTCCGTCAGAGCAGCACCAGGGGTTAAATGTTACTGTCTGAGGTGGGCTCTGCTATTCCAGCCTGTGCTGGTTAAAAATGCACTGAGGGATGAGTGCTGGTTTAAACAAAAATGAAATCACAATTCCTGTGTACTGTTGTGAATGGGTCAGGTGAGAAGTGAAAGCTTCGTGCCAAAGGATTGCCACTGGCATGCAAAGCTGACATTGTGGGCTTTAAAATTCCCCTCTCCCTGCAGTCTGAAACCAGGTTAAATAAACTGGCAATGCTAGACTGAGTATTTACTGCCTTGAGAGACAAGGAAAATAAACATTAATGCCGCCCCATTAATGTGAGGTGTGCTAAGCTTCTACATGGGAAAGCATTAAAACTCAATCCAGGGAAATTCAAGAGTTCCAGAAGTAATCACCAGGAATCAATCTGATCTGTTATCATGCTGAACCTTTGGGTCAGCCAGACCGAGAACACTTCAGCAGATCAGGATATCTTTATGGTTTCTGAGCCACTATCAAAGAAGTGACCTTTGACTTTTTCTAAGAGCACTGACATGGTTCTGCAGAGCTCCCTCCCCTTTTCCACAGGCAGGAGAGTTTCTCAATTGGAACATTTACTGATGAGCAGGTCACGACTGTCAGGGCAAGGACTTGCAGCTTCCACTCAGAATACTTTCTCAAGCACCACAAGTAAACCACCTGTTCAGCTCATGCTGGAAATGGATGTTCTGTTCCCCTCAAGCCCCATCAGCACTGGGAAGGAGTCCAGTGTTGTCCCAGGTCCCAGAGCTGGCCCCAGACTCCACACACGTTGGGTATTGAGGTTACTCTGTGTTTTACTGGATGCCATCACGAGCTACATTTCCTTTCTTTGCAGACACACTGAAGTAATTTCAATTTTCAATGCACAGCAATAAAAAACTAAACATTTCTTTAATACAATTATGGTACCACTTCCAAGGATATTTACAAACGAGGCTAATTATTTTACAGATGAATGTGCTTCTGCTGTTCTAGGCTACTGTAGTAATATTATTCTCAGCACAATCATGCTTATGCATGAGACACTGAACAGAAGGACAGCTGACTTGTTTAATGTGAGCTGAACAAAAACTCGTTCCTACTGAAGGTGAAGGAACGTTACCAAAATATGCATAGTCATTGAATCGAGGAACCAAGCACCAATCACACATGCACTGTTGGGAGACTGATGCTGTCAGGACAATTCCATGATTTTTCAACAGCTGTAGAGCACCTCCCACACAGTTAAAGTGTCAGGAATCACAAACAGGGCGACACCTCTGCCACTGATGCTCTGCAGAATGGAAATACATAAACTCAGGATTACTTGACAGTTAATGGATTGAAGTTAACAAGACAAACTGTACCAGGTAACCAGACACGTTTTGGAGGTGTTATTCCTCTAACACTGCATAGGAAGTTGAAAAAGATTCTCCTGCTCCTGGTAGGAACAGATGGCAAAGAGAGAGAGATGTTTTTTCTGATAGGACAGTCAGAAGGCAAAATAAATGTCTGGGCTCAGCCACACTACATCATTGGTGTGTTTATGAATCTCTAGATGAGGGAGTCAGGCTTATCCTAAAGGAGCCTACAAGAAAGATGGAGAGAGACTATTTACAAGGGCCTGGAGAGACAGGACAAGGGGGAATGGCTTCACACTGACAGAGGACAGGGTTAGATTGAGCATTAGGAAGAAATTCTTCCCTGTGAGGGTGGGGAGGCACTGGCCCAGGTTGCCCAGAGAAGCTGTGGCTGCCCCATCC